TCTTACCGTGCTATTTGAGCAGCCTATAAATTGTGGTGAAAAGCATCTGTTTCCATCGAAAGGACAAAACCTTTCCTTTCCTCCATGTTACAACCGTCTTTTGTAAAAGGGATAAACACTGATGCCCGTAGTCTCAACTGAGGCTCGGGACTAAATGGGTCATAGTGAGGTACTCTCACACCCCTGGAAAAGTTAGGGCAGTGTGAAGCTACTGCCCGCACTGTATTTTCCCCTTGGATTTCATTTCCTGGTGATATCATTCCAGCTCCTGTCACAAGGAAAGCTGATTGAATGTTTTCCAACAGAACTGTTTTCATCAGAAAATGCCATTTTGTTTAAATCAAAACTTTCCACGGAAACGTCAATTTCAGCTAACTTTTGTTTGGGAATAAATATTAAAAAAAATATGAGCAGGGTGAAATGTTCTGTTGTGACACTTTCCGAACCGAAGGTATCAATTTCCCATTTGGAAATGACTTTTCGTTCAAAATGTATTTTATTTCATATTATAAACATGAAAAAAGAGGAAAAAGTCAAAAAAGAAGCTTTTTTCATCTGACCCCAAATGATTTTTTAAATTTTGTTTTGTGGGGAATTTCTATATTCTTTCTTTTCATTCCAGTTTGGAACAAATTTTGAAATCACGGAATTTCTCACAAAATGGAAATGCCAGTTCCCACACAGTTGTAATCACAAGCAAAAAAATACATTTTAAAAAATCCTGCCTCTTTAAGTTTCCCTGCAAAAAGACCCTGTTTGCATTTTAAATGCATTCTTTGCAGGTTCATCTAGCATCAGAAAGAGGAGTAAACTGAGATCCCAAAGAAACAGGTCTAAGATAATAAGATCATGAATGGCACTTATGTAAAAGGTGGACACCTTCCTATACTGTCTTCCTCTTCTCTTTAGAATCAAACCCCAATGTCCAATCAACAGTTAATGTATTTAATGTATTTATAGTAAAATGTAGTGGTCATCCTTTGACCAAACAAAAGGAAGTATTTCTTCACACAACACACAGTCAACCTGTGGAACTCCTTGCCAGAGGATGTTGTGAAGGCCAAGACCATAACAGGGTTCAAAAAAGAACTAGATAAATTCATGAGGCTAGGTCCATCAATGGCTATTAGCCAGGATGGGCAGGAATGGTGTCCCTAGCCTCTGTTTGCCAGAAGCTGGGAATGAGCATCAAGAGATGGATAACTTGATGATTACCCGTTCTGTTCATTCCCTCTGGGGCACCTGGCACTGATGGAAGGCAGGATACTGGGCTAGATGGACCTTTGGTCTGACCCAGTAGGGCCATTCTTATGTTCTTTTGTGCTCGCTCTCAGTGGGAAAATTCCACTGTGTGGTATATGTGCATGAAAATGTGCTGCCTTTGTTTTCTTCACCCTCTTGCTGAGCTGCTGTAATGCATTCTGGGAGTCCTTGGCCATGTGCATAGTGGGAAATGTAGTCCAGCTGGGGAACCCAGCCCATAGAGGCAAATGGGGATATGACACAGCCAAATTATAATTCACGTGAGGAACTGTGATGGCATTTTTAATTGAATTGGGGGGGGGGGCTGACTGGCCAAAAATGAAAGCGTTTTAGGTTTGAGTTTTCTTTTTTTGGTGAAAAATCAATTTTTTTCCTCAGAAACCAGACACTTTCGGCCAAAAAATTGTTTTTTGATCAAAAACCCATTTTCTGTAGACAGTTAGACAAACACAGAGGTGACAGCATGGGAGAAGAAGCAAAGATGACACCGTGGGAGAAGGACACAGACACATAGTCAAGAGAACGAAGCAGAATGAAAAAGCTAAGAAGGGAAGACATGAGCGCAGAGATGTGCTGAAAGAATGAATTTTCACTACCTCTAGGGACAGCAAGAAACAATATCTTGGACTGATTCTCTGTGAGTCTGTGCAGGTTTTTGGGCTTGATTCTCTATGTACAGCACGGCACTGCGGCTCTAAATGAGACACGGGGAGACCAAAATCTGCTCGCAGTTACACGGGCATCCATCTGGAGTAACCTCATGGACTTTGGGCTTTAAGTCACTCTCCAATAATCTACAGGGTGGCCCTGGTCCAAAATGTATTTTGTAAGTGCTGAACAATTGTAGCAGGAGAGGTGATTACATGTAAGGAAGGAATGAAGTGGCAGGTGGGGCCCACGTGGGGTTCAAAGTGCTACGCTTTTTGCCCTTTTATGTTTTATTTCTTAATTCCAATGACAGTGTCCGAAAGCAGCTGTGAGTCAGTGCTTTGCACGGCTGAGAAGAACCACATCAAATAGGATGGGGAAAAGATTTCTTCGGCCGCATCTGAACTGGGGCTGCGTCGTGTTCGTGCGGGCCTGCTTTACGAAACCGTCGTTTGCACGGAAGTACTTGAACTCACACTTTGGTCTCAATTCCCTCCACCCAAGATAAGGAATCAGAAAGCTACCCCCCCCCACACCCATTCATGTAATACTTGTAAGTGCAAAACATTGTTGTGACTCTCATTCCCCTACCCCTACAATCAGCTTTTCTGAAAAGGACAGACACCACTGGTGCAAATTTGCGTTGTCCATTTAAGAGGTGCAGCACAGAACCGGGCAGAGGCAGGGCTTTAAGTGAACTTTGCTCCCTCCTGATCTTGGCCTTTTCCAGGGGCTGGGGCAGCCCCCAGCATAGCTAAGATATCCTGGTCCGGGCCTCTTTAAATTGCAGCAGCCTCTCCAGGCTGCCTGGTATCTCTGCAATGCTCCCTCCTACCCCTAGACCTGCCTCAGTCAAACCCTCTGTGCCATGTGTAGAGCCCTGCCAAATTCACCCTCCATTTTGGTCAATTTCACAGTCACAGGATTTTTAAAATAGTCATTTTCATGATTTCAGCTATTTAAATCTGAAATGTCACAGTGTTGTAATGGTAGGGGTCCTGAACCAAAAAGGAGTTGGGTGGCTCACAAGGTTATTGTAGGGGGGTTGTGGTTCTGCTACCTTTACTTCTGTGCTGCTGCTGCCAGCGGCGCTGCCTTCAGAGCTGGGCAACTAGAGAGTGGTGACTGCTGGCTGGGAGCCCATCTCTGAAGGCAGCGCTGCCGCCAGCAGCAGCGCAGAAGTAAGGATGGCATGGTATGGTGCTACCTTCAGCAGCTGGGACCCGGCTAACAGCCACCACTCTCCGGCCGCCCAGCTCTAAAGCCAGCGCAGAAGTAAGGGTGGCACTACAGTGACCCCCCCCTAAAATAACCCTGTGACCCCCCCCCCGCAACTCTCTTTTGGGTCAGGACCCCCAATTTGAGAAACGCTGGTCTCCCCCGTGAAATCTGTATATTGTAGGGTAAAAGCACACAACAGACAGGGCGAGACCAGCTTTCATGGTCCGTGATGTGTTTTTCATGGCCGTGAATTTGGTAGGGCCCTAGCCACATGCTATGTTTGTGGAGGGGTGTGCAGAGGGCAGCCTTCAGATTGTCTTCCACAGTGCGTGTGCTGGGGGAGTCTTCTCCTGGTGTGAACCTTTAGGATCAATTTATGCCATTCCAGCCCCATTACCTAGCATAAAGGAGCAAAAGAGAATTTAGGACTGCGGTTCATTATGGGAGAGGGGTGCATGGGGGAGGGGTGCATGTATTGATGCAGGCTTCATCTGGGAAAGAGGCAGAGCTAGACCAGCAGGGGATGGTGAAGGTCAAGATTGGGTGTATTAAGTAGATGTGTCTGTCTGGGTATGGATGAATGTGTCCATGGAGAAAGGGAAGACTGGAATGGCAGAGGTGCTGAAAATCAGTGGTAAGGTACTGTGGTAAAGAAACTCGCACTGCATTTGCCCCTGTTAATCTTGTTGCTACTTGATGTCCTTCTTCTTAAATGTTTCTATTATGATCGTGCCCAGGAGCCCCCGGTCAGGATCAATGCCCACCACAGAAGGGGACAGTTTGGAGGAGCATATTGTGAGTTAATTCAGTGTTCGTGACAATATTGTCACAGACACTATTATTGTCACAGACACTGAATTAACTCGCAATAGGAATGAAAAGAGAAAAGAAAAGAAAACATTGTGATGAACATTGCTTACTATTAATTGGAGTGCGTTGAAATTTTTAGAATTTTCAAAGTTTGGGGTTTTTTTTGGCAAACACTTTTGAGAATTTATTTTTAATAGTTTTCCACTATTTTTTCCAACATTTAACATTTTGAACAAAGAACTGATTGCACACATTTTTGAAAATTTATTACCAAAATGTTTCTGCCTTTTCCCACCTGCTCTATTAGTGTTGGATTGGACTTAACGCTTAACTGAATGGAAGAGGGGGCTGTGTTAGAAAAAGGAATGTCTGCACTGGGTAGCTCGGGGTTAGTGCTGTCATGATGCTGGGAAAGCAGAATCCCAGAGCAAAAGGAGAGAAGAACTGCAGCATTTCACATTGGAACCACGTGGAATCACAAATATTACAGGGTTTTGACATTAAACCATAAATCCATAAGAATCTAGGATATAGGACTTAGGATGTAGGACTGGAAGGTACCTCAACTCCAATCTCCTGCTACTCTGGTAATTCCATCATTTAAACCCACTCATAAACTTCCTAAACTCCATCTTCAAACTAATTCGGTTGTTTGCTGCTGCTACTCCTATTGGAAGGCTGTTCCAGAACGTCACTCTGATAGATAGAACCGTTCTTCCAATTTCTGACTTAAGTGTATTTATGGCCAGTGTATACCCATTTGTTCTTGTGCCAGGGTTGTCCTCTAGTTCGAACAGTTTAAATCCATCCTGGTTTGCTTAAAACTGGGCCCAGCTTCTTTTTTAAAAAGCACCAGCCTCCACGAAGCTTTTGACCAACCTGGTCTGAGTTTCCTTCTAGTTTGTTATGGATCCAAACGAGGTGAACTTTGTAAGATTTTAGATTTCATTGGCGATATTTTGCATCACACAAAGGGGTTCTCATCCAGTCCTGAAATCTATTAATCCCGGCCCAGTGCATTCAATTCATTTCATTTTAACATGTCGTGTGTTCGCACGATGACAAAACACTTTGCAGCAAAAGGTAGCTGAAGAGGAAAGGAAATTTTTTAGATAGACATGGGCCCAGCTCGCAAAGACTGGATCTGCATTTAGCTCCAATGTTCTACAGATGCCAGGAGTTGTTCTGGGTTCAGGGCCATCTTTAATTGTAAAATGAGATTTCAAGAGAGTGATTCAGAAGGATGAAAGAATCTCTAAGCAGATGGGGCAACTCCAGGGCATTAATAGACCTCAAATATGGAGCATAATGATGAAAAGATAGGAGCACAACATTTTAAGGAATGGAGTTTGCTGGCAGGAGAGTGTGTATGAGGTCACCGAGGGAGAGTGGATTGACACAATGGAGAGGTTAAAAAATCCAGAGGGCAATACGTGTTGACTGCTTACTAAAATAGCATGGCGTCTTTCTGATGCACTAATCACTCAGCCTCTGCAAATGTTAAGTTAGACCTGTCTCAAAAAATACACAGTTTGGAGAAGCAGTAAAGGAGCCAGTAAATATTTGCTGCAACGGTGAAGATACAGCACTTGATTTTGTATTTCAGCTGATTGCTTAATTCTTGTGAAGTTTAACTACAATAAACACTCGGGTTGTGCCAAACGCATTGAAAATCAGTGTCAGAGAAAACGAGGAATAGAGACTGCTGGCTGCTCGTTGCAAAGCAGCCCGAGGGCTAAATGGCAACAAAACGTTATACATAACATCTGATTCACGGCATGGAGAATGTAAAGAATTGAGACCTCCCGACACAGTTTACATTGGCCCTTTTTATGACTAATTGTGCAGAAAATAGCTCTGTTTGTAGCGCTCATGGAAACAGTTCAGGTTTCTGCTGTGTGTCAGCTAATGGCCTAGCCAGGCTTTCTTAGTGTAACTTCAAAGGCTCTGCCACGGAGGCCTTTTGTGCGGGGAATTATCTCTTGCTCCTTTGTACCACTTTATCCCTCTAAGCCCCAGAACAATGAATCCTGAAGCGAACAGACCAAGTAATTTGTAGTAGATCTTCAAATCCAGATAAAGCACACAACATTTGCTTAGAACCATTCTTCTTGCTCCTGTCACCAAAACAAGATAATATTTTTGCCTGTAAGAACTTGTGGGCTTATTTAACTTCTTAGGGCTGTGGCTTGGTGCTGATGCTTAGATACAACGTTGATGGCATTTCATGTCTAAGATGGCGAGGTAGATTTTTAATATCTAGCACTACATGGTTCTCCCTCTCAGAGGTGTTTGAAAAACATCCCTCCGAGGCCCACCCAGAATATTTTGCCCAAAATGAAAATAATTTTCATTGTCATTTTCAATGGAAAAATTGGACTTGTGGCAAAAAATTAAGAACAAAGGTTGTTTTGTCTTTTAGTTAAAAAACTACCCCTCTCTGCCCTGCCACATACGCACACACACCCCACACCCTTGCACTGATTTTCAGTTTTCCAATGAAAAATCCCAACTTTTTTTGAGGAAAGCAGACACGTGCCCTGAAAATTTCCATTTAGTCAAAACAGCAGTTTTCTATCAGAAAAACAAGGTGAAATGGGAAAATTTTGACCAGCCCTGGGCACTGTGAAAACACATTCACTGAGAAATTCAGATCGTCCGACCCCAAAACACAGGCTCATACCACTTGAGCTAAAGGGGTGAAATCCGGGCCCCAATGAAGTCAATGGCAAAACTCCTATTGACTTCAGTTGGGACTTACACAAAGAGATCCTTCTTACAAAGTCGTCAGTTTATTAAAGTAAATTGTGGCCAAACTTTGAGTTCACGGTATGTTTAGCATTGAAAATTACCCTCTAGCAAAAGTCATTGGTATCAAGTCTTCTTTAGGAAGCGGATGGACCACCTTTACTTCCCATTACTGTCCTGGATCTCATCCTAATCTTCTACCGGTGAATCGAGTTCAGTAAAAAAGGGCAGAAGATGACTCTAAATACGCACCAATCCAGGACCTGTTAGAAATGTAGAGGGGCAGAGTTTTTTTAAGAGATGGCTCAAATTTTAACTTTGTACAATACCTATTACAGTACCCATTTATCATTCGAACAATCTTGCCCTCTAGTGTCATGAGCGTCATACATACAGATATATCTATAGGCTTGGGAGAATTCTATTATTATTTGTAATTTTGACAGAATATTGGGGGTTTTTTTTTGTATTTTTATTTACTTAAAGCTTCACAGTTGTGCAAAATTATGGACTTAAAGTATTTTTTGTATATTTATCTATTTTAAATTTTTACAGTTTCAGGAAATTATGGGAGTGTCAGATAATTATTTAATGACAGTAGGCGTTGAGATTAAAACATGTTAAAGCTTTATAACCATTAAAACACAAGTTGTCAACATTGCATGTCAAAATATGCAAAATAAATATCCTTATATCAAACTGTGATAAGCTCTTAGGCAGCATTTTTCTTACTTTCCCTGTCTGTAGATTTTGATTATTATAGAGGGAAATATTTTTGTCAGTCTGTGTGTATATGGTGAAATTAACATTTACTGATAAAAATCAAATCCTTCTAAGCCTAGAAATATAATACCTAATGTGTTATTGCCATGGTTTATTTGCAACAATGAAACTTATTTTAACGTAAATTGTTAGTGGAGATTTTGCAGTATTCATCTTTGCGCCTGATATTGGAATTACCGCATAAACCTCTGTGTGGCAGGTCTTCTATTTCTCCTTTCAGCTGCTTTTCTCTGCATATTTACTAGGCATTCCCAGGACAGTAGATATTCTGACCTTTTTAGCCCTAGCACTCATCAACTGTCACAATAAATCAGGATAATACTAAAGGGATTTTTCATCCAGGTTCAGAATAAATAGTGAGTAGCAGCTCAGAAGACCTGACATCCATCCATCTATCTATCTAATCTATCTATCTAAACTATCCATCTATCTATCTGTTTCCACGTGCACAAAGTTTTCAATAATTATAACTTCCTAAAGTTTTTACCTTTTAGGGAGATATTTTCCAGGCTTCTTCTCTGACAATTCTGACAATTTGGAAAGTTTTAGCAAAAATGGTATTGCTATTTTTCAGTCGGTGGAGAGAGAATGAAATATACCCAAGCCATTCTAAAAATAAAAATAATTTTACAAAATCTTTATTCTTTTTTTTTTAACGGCTTTAGTGATAAAGTGGCAGGAAGTAGGAAGCGTGGGGAATTAGTTCACAATGGACTGAAATACCTGTGAGTGTGCTGGTGAAATTGGCATTCATTTGGCCAATTGATCCATTGAAAATCATACGCTGCTGTAAATTGTTAACAAAGATAGTGCTAAGCTCAGAATATGTGCCACCAAGGAAGATCACAGTGTGTGTGCAATTTTCATAGATTTTAAGGCCAGGAGGAACCATTGTGACCATCTAGTCTGGCCATAGAATTTCATCCAGTGCTTCCTGAATCAACCCTATGGCTTCAGGTTGAGCTAGAACATATCTTCAGATCCGTTCATGGAGAGATAAGAAGTTGCGCACAGCAACTTTTATTCCAAAAGGGGGGGAAATAAATGAATATTGAGGAGAGGAGAAGTAAAGTGAGCAGCAAGGCAAAACTGGTCAACATTCAAGTATCATTGCAAACAAGACACAGCAAAGTGGGAAGGATGCATGAATGGGGGAAGTTAAAGAGTTTCAGATTCTGCCATTTAGGCAAAATCAAATAGGTTGGATTGAAGAGGACTTGTATAGTAGGCTCCACACTATGCTGCTTATTACAGTGTTTCACTGATAAAAGAGTCAGTTTAGTTATAAATTAGGGCATTGTCCACAAACCCTCTGATGTCAATGTAAAGACTCCAGTTGATTTCAGTGGGCGTAGGGCTGTGACCGAAGAGATGAGATGACTGGCCTATTGCTTGGCTGTATACGCTAGCATTATTGATTGAATCCCTCTGGACTTTGCTCATCCAGGCAGGTACTCTTTGAAAATACCTGGGTACCCCAAAAGAGACAAACTTCTGACCCTACACAGTCTGCATTATTAGGGTGTTTGTAGTTAGATTCTTATGCTGTCTGGCCAGTTTCTCACTTCAAAACCAGCTCTGCTGTTTCCACAGTGATCTTTCAGGGAATGATTAGCTCCTTTGAGAGATAGTCTGTTGGACATTGGAGTAAGTGGGCTCCAACTCTAGGACGAACTATCTGCTTTGAAAAATATTGATCTCAAAAACAATCTTTGGTTCTGACACTTAACAGGAACTTCTCTTATCCCCTGCAATTTCTGGGCAAATCTTAAGCACCCCTCCGATACCATTGGGATGTTTTCCTAATGAATAATTAAGGCAGAAGACTGGAGGGCTCAAGGCACAGTGATGGATTGCAGGTCTTTTCACATTTACATGTCTGGTTTGACTCCTTCCAGGTAAATAATGAACAAATGTTGATAGAATCCAAAAACTGTTGGGTGAAATGATTAATGGTCTCTGTCCACATCCTGGTGGACAGTTGTCTGCATGACAAAAATTATTAATTAATACAAGTCATCCCCAACACTGTAGTATTTCAGTCCACTACAAATTCCGGAAGGCAGAAAACAAGTGTGTCCAATTTTGGAATGCAGTGAGAACAAAACTGCCACCATCCCAGACTTTCCTCAACCTAAATAACTTAAGTACTCAACAAAAGCCAACCAGATCCACAGGTGGCATCCTTGTTGGCAGTCTTAACAGAGAAGCCAAATGATCGGAAGGCCAAAATATCTCTCACACCTGAATGTATTTTACAGTGCATTGTTGGGAAGCTGGTAACACTGCTGCCCTGGTCGTGACTGTTGAATCGATGAGGATTTAGGGTTGTCATTATGCTACTTTTTGCCAGGACTTTTGGTATTATGATGTAAAGGTCAACGGTTAATAAGATTCAGGACATTTGTTCCTACAAATAAAAATGTTGGCAACTTGAATTCCATGTCAAGAAAAACTAGGACATTGGAGTATGAACACGGAAACATCTTTGTTCCCGATTCCACTTGCAGCTCTCTGTTCAACCAATTGAAGGATCGGGCCTTTGTTTGCTCTGGCATTGCTTAAAAAAAATCCAGTTATGATCAAATCAAATTAATCGCTCACAAATGTCATATTGCTCTCCTCTCTGAGCGTGTGGAACGCATTTTTGGGACTGGTCCTTTGGCTTTAGTTATAAGCAAGTTAGTCAGGGGGGAAATCAAATTTTTATGTTTCTGAAAAGGAGGTAGTGGAATCCTGGAACAAGTTAGGGCCTGCAAATGTGATTTGAATAGTTTAAAGAAATGTCTTTTGGCTAAAAACTGTTTATGATGCTTGTGGGTTGCACTAAAACCCCTATAACCACATCACCCTCACAACTGATACTAATTAGCATCCTTGTTGGCAGTTTAGGCAGGGAGACCGAGGCTTAAAAGAGACTGGAGACTGAATTACCCTTGAATCCTTAGGGTGCGTCTACACGCAAGTGGTTGCCCACAGCAGCAAGTCTCAGAGCCTGGGTTGACAGACTCGGGCTTGCATTATGGCACTAAAAATAGTTTAGGCAGCAGCTTAGGCTCTGAAGCCCAGGGAGGGGGTGGGGCTTGAGAAAGGGGCTGCAAACAAGGCCCAGCGGGTGGACTGAAGAGAAGGCCTGAAGGGTAGAAGAACGTTTTTGTTTGCTTAGAACTTTTCTGTTTGAACTCTTGGTACCTTAGAAGGGATTACATTTGTTGTGACTTGGCTGGAGAGCTAAGCCACATCTCCCACACAGACCTGTATCTGGGAAGCTGAGAAGACCAACCTCGGAAAGGGAAACTAAGGGGGGGTGGGGGTGCCAGCCCTAGTACACTCAGCCAACAGAGCAGTATGGGGTAAAGGCGCCCTTATGACAAATCTCAAAGGCTCGAAACCCCACAGACCAATGAAAAGAATCCCAAATTCATTTTTATTAATCTCCTGATTTTTAAGCTGATCTCATGATTTTTTTAATGCTTGGGGTTAGCAATCAATGCTGAAATTCACCGATGTGCAGAGAACCAGCATAAGATCTAGCCACTCTGAGTCCCACTTTAGCCAATTATCCTAGAGAAACAACTATGCCCTAAACAATCACACAAGCCTAACCCATTCACACAAATGTTAGGAACACTAGGTAACAAGGGATAGAAACATGGTCTGACGGCACTGTGGTATTTAGCAGAGTATTTGTATCATAGAAGATTAGGGTTGGAAGAGACCTCAGGAGGTCATCTAGTCCTGCATTCCACCCAGTCTTACTCCTGAATAGAAGCCTAATCTGAAATCAGTTAGGGTGACTAATAATACTTCTCTCACCTTTTGCAGGAACAATTGTAAAACCCGGGTGAGGGGGTGATTTAGAGTGTGAGCTTGTGTTTAAAATGGCAGCTATACAGAACTACCACAACAATTTGCAGGCTCCAAGTTACTGTGGAAGAATTGGCCCTTGAGTTGCCTACCCATTTGATCAATCCCTGGCCCGTAGGGGGCAGCGCGTCAGGCTGTGAGTTGGCTAGTCTCATTCCTACTGCCCAAAGAGCAGTAGTGGACCAGAGTGTGAGTAGCTGAGTCTCTTCTGGGCCCCAACCAGTTGCTTGACCCGACTTGCTTGCCCTTGGAGCCAGCCCTGTCTTTGGTAACCTACTCCTCCTAGCTTGGGTCGACAGGAGGGAGTACCCTCAAGGAGCAGTTTGAGTGACGCTGCTGTTTTTCTGTCCATGTTTTAGGTCACTTCCTGGGTAACAATACTGTGATTGATGTGCTGAGACAAGCAGGCTTTGAAGTGGAGCATACACCTGCTGGACAACCAATTGGAAAGTAAGCAACTGCCTGTAGATCCTTTAACCTCTCGCTCTCTCTCTCTTTCTCCGAGTGAGCAAGATTATTTTGGTGAGCGAAGAGGGTGAGTTACCTTCTTCCCTATAAAATTTCAGGTACTCGTTTCAATGGAAGGCATCTGAAGTGTCAGCTAATGTACATCAAATGTGTGATACTGTGGCAGGAGGTAGCTCCCTGTAGGTTTAGATGACATAGACACTGCTTATTCACACCAGGGATGCTGGAACAATTTGTATACTGGGGGTGCTGATGTTAGGCTTATAAGAAGCACACAGGATCTTTTTCAGGGGAAAAGGCAATATGCCTCGTTTATTGGAAATACAACAATTAGCGATGGCACTGTAGGGGTGAGGGATAGCTCAGTGGTTTGAGCATTGGCTTGTGAAACCCAGGGTTGTGAGTTCAATCCTTGAGGGGGCCATTTAGGGATCTGGGGCAAAAATCTGTCTGGGGATTGGTCCTGCTTTGAGCAGGGGGTGGATTAGATGACCTCCTGATGTCCCTTCCAGCCTTGATATTCTGTGAACCTCTGGAAACCTCTTCAAGCCAAGGGGTGTGGCAGTACCCTGAGCACCTATGATTCAGACCAGATCAGATGCACTGTGGTGAAAACGAGAACAGATCAATGTACTGAGAGGTGGTACCATTCTGTTGAGTTATTTTACTCATTAAGAAACGCCACTGTCCTTGTCAGCTTCTCCCCTGGCAGCTTTCCCGCTGCCTCTTCCCCTCTCCCCGGGGCAGTAGTCACCTCAACGCTGCAGGGCTACGGTGCATTGCTGGAAATGTAGCTGCCACTTGAGCTACTGTTGATGCCTCTTTGTGCCAGGCCCCTTTTTCCTCCCCAGGGATGTCGATTTTTCCCTTAAGGGCCCTTTTGTGCATCTGTGTCCCAGACAAAGCACACATCCTGAGAGGAGTGTTTTGTAACGATCTTCTCCTCTCTGGAAGTATCCAAGGAAATGCATTATCTTTGCACTGTCTCCTCCCCTGTGCACCCTGGAGATAACATTGGCTGACATTTCTTCATAAGATTGTTAGCAATCCCATGTTAGGATGTACAACTCCCTGCCTAGACTGCGCTTTGCCCAGCCAGCTAGATGGCCAGAGTCTGTGTTTTCCTTTCTCTCCAGCATAGGTACTGGAACTAGGGGTGCGGGGGGTGCTGCAGCACCCCCTGGCTGGAAGTGGTTTCCATCATATACAGGGTTTACAGTTTGAGTCAATGTCCCTCAGCATCCCCACTATACAAATTGTTCCACCACCCCTGCTCTCCAGAGGCTGTGAACAACATAATGGCCCACGGTGTTTGTACACCACTCTGTATAAGCAAGAACATTCATTGTTAAGGTAAAAAATAGTCAGCAAGAAAACATATTAAAAACAATAAAAGAACCTATGTGCATGCTAAAAGGCTTACCCCAAATCACCCCAATTCCAGCCTCAGGCTCTGGTAGGTGTCAGTCCTTCAAAAACGCTGGGTTTTCCCTGTGGGTTACAAGTTCATAACTGTCTCAGATTCAGAACCAGCACCACCAAGGATAGTTCAGTCTTTACTTTATACAGCTTGGCCCTTTGATCTTGGCCTCTTGTAAGAGGTGACCAGCAGACAATGGCTCACTCCTCAGGGCATAGTTTCAAAAGGCTGGATTTTTGCGTGCCCAGAAGTGCGGAATTCGCATTCACTTCTCCGGGGAAATTCCCAGGAAAACAACATAATATCTTTTGTTCCAAAAGCCCATTCTTGCCTGGCACATAGCTCTCGCACCTATCACATCCACGCCCCTTCTTCCCCCCAGCAGAGGTTACATACAATCCCAGCCCACAAGAATACATAAACAATTCATTTAATACAATGGACTCCAAAGATACTTAAACATAATTCAATAAGGTCTCTCAAGAATATCGCAGGAAATTGCCAAATCTGCCACAGTTAGTAGCATTTTCCTGTCCCTGGTGGAACTAACAGTGCACAATGCAAATATGAGGTGAGTTTCATTAACGGGATTAATTGCAGGACTAATGAATCTTGTCTGGTTGTATTCTCTGTACAAAAACACTGTCTAGATTTATACAGTCTTAACATTTGGCTGATTGGACCTTGTTTGCAAAACGCCTGCAATCCTTCATATAGAATATGATAAAGCTTAATGGCCCATAAGTATCTCTGACACAAAGTTTCTCCTGAATGCTTCACAGCGTTTATTCAGCAATAATACTTCAGAGTTAAATAATATCAGATGGAGAAAGAAATGAAAAGATACAAGAAGGAAGGAAGGGCATATGCTCAGATATGATTTGGAAATTCATTGGAGCAGAAAGATAGGAGTCACTTGTAAATGGGAAGAGCTTGTGGAGTTAAGTTGAAAATAGAGCTGGTCAGAAAATGTTTTTTTTCTTCCAATAGAAAATGTTGATGAAAACTAAAACCACTAAAAGAGTTAGTTTTCATCAAAATGTTAATGGATATTTCTGCCAGTTAATAAAAACAAAATAAAAACAATTTTCAGGTTTGGGGCTTTCTGTTTTCCAACAACAACAAAAAAACAAGTTTCAGGTTTGGGGCTTTCTGCTTTCCAACAAAAAAAAAAAACAATTTTCAGGTTTGGGGCTTTCTGTTTTCCAACCAAAAAAAAAAAACAATTTTCAGGTTTTGGGCTTTCTGTTTTCCAACAAAAAAATCAAAGACCTTTTCTGCCACAAAAAAAAAAAGTCATTTATTCGAAAACCCACTTTTCTGTTGAAAAACATTTCGGTTGAAGATTTTTGAGCAGCTCTAGTTAAAACCATAAAGTTCTTGGTCCTCCAGGTCCAGGTTGAGTTTTATATGGAGACTTAGTAAAATGTTATATTCTGTCTCCTAGAATCATGATGTCTGTGTTTCTCTGCTCCCATAAAAAAGAGTTGTAGAAAACTTGCATTCTGTAGTGTAGCAACCATGTGAAGGGATAGAGAGGAGTTCTAGATATTTATGTGTACGTTAGACAAACACCTATCAGGAAGCATACTTAAACTTGCTTCTGCATGGGTGGATGGATTGCATGACATCTTGAGATCCCTTCCAGCCCTCCATTTCTATGATTCTATGTGAGATGGATCGAGGAGGGGTCTAGTAGTATTCTATCAGGGTTGGATACTACATTGATGAACATGGCATAAATGCCTAGACGGACAAATCAGTCAGCCATGGGTGAGATCTTACTCCATGTCTTCACTCGTGGTTTAAAAGAAGGCATAAATGGCATGTTAATGAAATTTACAGGCGATACTAATTTGCAAGCATCACTCAGAACAGAGGAAATGTTAAAAAAAAACAACTTAGCAAGTTCAGAGACAGACAGAAAACAGCAAAGGGAGATTGGGTTTGGAAACATGGAACCTAATGCACTGAAAGGAAAATAATTGAAACCACATGTACTGCCTACCTGAAGGATTCCCTTTCTCCCCCTGCCATACTTCCACTGGTTCCCCGTTGCAAAAGCAGGGAGGCTGCTGACAAGTGGGGACCATGGAAAGTGCTTCCCCCCTGGGTCTGGAATAGTCTGTATTTGGCTACCTCTGGGCATGCTGCAAAAGACATCTGTCTGATGCGGGTTTTAGAGAGGGTTGAGGATATGCTCCCAGAATGATGAAGGAGCAGAAAGGACTTTTTTTGGAGACAACCAACTGGCTGAGTTCCTGTCTGATTGACTGTTTAATGGTGCTGAGTTTATGTTGTAAACTCAGCGTGAGCCAGAGCGACATCGTTCTCCCACTACGAGAAAGGGCCCAAGTGACCTTCTCCGTTGGATAATATGAACTGGAACCAGAAACTCCCTGAACATTAAATCTCACCAAATGAGGGTCAATCCATCCTCTTCATCATATCCATTATACTCCACACCCAAACATAGCCATTCTATGAACTTCATACCCTCATATCTCAATGCCTGTACTTTGACCCATCAACCTTTTACCCCCAATCGGGGATATTGCAAATTCTGTATTCCTTATGCCACCAGATCTTAAACCAAACTTTGCACCCTTGATAATCTGTATGTTATTCCCTGATAACCAGAAACTTCTATGCTCAAACTCTGTTCACTTTTTTTTTTAACATCATCTTAATAAAATTTTTAAATCTGTTAATAGAGTGATAGGGTATCTAGAGCCTTGTGTAGATGTCTTTATATTTTTAACCATTTAAATCAAAATAAGTACCAATACACAAAAAGGGAGGGGAAGACCTGTAAAGTCCTACTGCTAAAAGGGACACCTTGCAGTGGTAATGGGCAGCAAATTAAACATGAGTTTGGCTAGAATAAAAAGGTCCAGATAGTTTTGAGTCGCATGCAGGGAGACATCACTTTATGGAGCATGGTTGCTTTCTGCATGAACTTTGAAGGACTGCACGTGAAATAGTGGGTCTGAGTCTCCTCTCACTTATGCCAGCGTAGACTAGGAGTAGCTCTGCTAAGGTTAATGGAGTTACAGTGGCATAAAAGAGAAGGGAACCAGGTCCTCTGTGCCACCACATTGGCTAACGGCGGTTAAGAAAGTGAAAGGAGTTCAGAGAAGATTGGCTGGACACTTGTTTGGTTGGGGGCATGGGCAGAATGGATGGATTGACCTGCAAGAAAAAATTAAGATGGCTAAATGTCTATAGCTTGGCCAAGGGAATGCTAACCGGGGGGGTCACAATATTTGAATGGTTGGAGCATTGATGGAGAGGAATCATTTAGGGTAGCACGTGGGGGTTTACACTGGTGTAAAGGGGTGAAATTAAGGAAGGGAAGGTTTAGGCTAGACATCAAGAGAAGTTTCCTGACAGTGGGCTATATTAGGCTGTAGGACAGTCTTTCTAGAGAAAAGTCATAAGACCCATAATTTGGAACTTTTAAACTAGCTTTGACAAAACACTAGATGGTGTTTCATGCTACAGGGAACAATCCTACCTTGGCAGGGAGATGGACCAATAAGCCACATTTGTCTTTGATGTC